AAGCACTGCTAAGTATTCACAACATGCATGCCCTCATGCCACATGCCTTCATCCCACCCACTGGCCCTCCTCTCACATGCCGCGACTCACCATGCGAGGGGTTTCCCTGAGAGCAATACCCTGCCCACCGCCACGAGCACCGGCACCACAAACGCCATCAGCCACGTCAGCGCCTGGGCGAAGACAGCTGCAGCGCGGGGAGAGCAGATGCGGAGGAGAGAGGGGAGGAGAAGAGTACGGGCGAGATAAGTGATGGGGGAAAACGGGGGTTGATGGTGGTCGGAGTGTAGAGAATGGGTGGTGGCAGGGCGCAGAGGTGCCAACCCGGCAGCTTGAAGTGCAGGCACACGGTGGAATTGAGGACACGTGTGGTGAGGAGGGTACATGGCACGACACAGAGGCAGGTGAGTTGCAGGGGGGCGAGCAACAGGGGCCAGCAGAGCGGAGGAACACGACACACCATCGTCAGTGACCAGGCCACGAAAGGGGGCTACAATGATGACGGGCTACAGTGACAGGGTTGACAAGAGCAGAGGCGTGATGAGGGGCGCGCGCACCTGAGGCGAGTGCAGAGCAGCGCTGGGCCACAGTGGCATAGCCCGAGGACGCAGGCGAGGCCAGCCACGGCACCAGGTACAGCGCCCCCAGCAATGCCGCATTGCCCGCCACCGCCACGTGGCGCGGGTAGAACACCTGCTCGCACGTGGTAGCATGGCGCATGGTGGATGGTGCATGGTGGATGGTGCATGGTGGATGGTGCATGGTGGATGGTGCATGGTGGATGGTGCATGGTGGATGGTGCATGGTGGATGGTGCATGGTGGATGGTGCATTGGGCACGTGGGAAGGGGAGAGGGAGGGGGGAGGAAGGATGGTGTGGTGAGTGGCTGAGCAGCACTGCAAGCAGCATGCGTGCCGGTGAGAAGCACCAAGGGAGCCCTCACGGCCAGCACATGCGACATCAGCCTCCATTGGTGAGGTGCAGCGGCGGTGGCATGGCATGGCATGGCTGGCACTCACGGCGACGTGGTTGAAGAGGTCGAAGAAGACGGGGACCTGGTCCGCGTTGGCCTCGCCTTTGGCCAACGCCTCTCGCCTGCCCTGCCTCGTCTTGAGCTCTGGCGCCGCTGCCAGCCCCGCCACCAGCGCCAGCAGATTCTCCCCCCGCATCTGCAGCACACCGGGCCTGGGGAGGGGGGAGAAGGGAGTGGGGAGGGGGGAAAGCGGAGAGGAGATGATGGGAACGCGGATGGGGTGGATGGGGAAGGCACTGGAGAGGTGAGGGTGTGTGTCACATAGCATAGAGGCAGGGTGAGGGGGGGAAGCGGGGGGGAGGGACAAGATACGGGAGAGCAGGAGGAAGCAGAGAAGCCGAGGAACGGATGACACGCCGCGTGCAGATGGTGTGGCGTTGTACAGTACGAGCAGCGTGGTGCGGTGCGTGTGTGTGTGTGCATGCAGTGCGTGTGCATGCGGCGGCGCTCACATCATGTTATCAGCAACATCATAGGGCGTGTGGTAGAAGTAGCCGCGCAGCATGATCATGAAGTCCATGCCCGGCACGTCATCAAAGTCTTGTGACACTATGCGGAAGTCCGTGTCGCCCGGTATGTGCGGGAAGAAATCCTGCTCTCGTGCACAGGCATGCAACGCACGCACACACACAGGCATGCACGCACACATTGATGTCACACACATGCACGCATGCACGCACACGGGGAGGCGCCAAGGTGAGGAAATGTTCACCCTGGCTGGCCAGTCCCTTAATCCCCTCTCACCACCACTGCCCCGCGTTCCCCTCTCCTCCCTCAACGTACCACGCACCCTCATCTGCGCCTCCCACCTTCCCCCCTCCCCATTGCGCGGCATGCGCGCGGGCGTGCGCTGACCTGCGTGATGACGGTGGCGGAGGGGTGCGCGGCGGACTCGGCGTACACGCGGTTGGGCCACATCACGGGCCCGCTCTGAATCACCAGGTCTGCCCACGAGATACCCGCCATGTGCGACCAGGGGAGGGCCGGGAGCGGACGGGGAAGGGGAGGAGGAAGAAGGCGAGAGACGGTGAGGAGAAGGGCTGGGCGCCGCGCTCGTGGGGTCAACGAGTGACGGACACAAGGGGGCGCGGGAGCAGGGAGAGCGTGGGATTGGGCGGTCATCGGGATGTACAGAGGCAATAAGGGGATGCGGGAAAGCCACCCGGCAGCAAGCGAAGTGGCAGCAAGCGAGGCTTACCTGGGAGGGCGGAGCCGGAGGATTCGAAGTTCATGAAGGCGCCCACGGTGTCGCTCCACGGGTGCTTCGACACGAACCCGTGCACTCCCTGCCACCACCGCGCGCCAGGGGGGGAGGAGGAGGGAAGACAAGCACCAAGGACGAGGCATCACGTGGCTGTACGCGCGAGTGGCAAGTCGGCACGGCGCGGAGGAGGCTGGGAGTGGTGGATGCAGGGGGGAAGCAAGGAGGGGCGCACGAGGCACGCGCGGGTGCGCGGCAGCGCGAGGGGCTGCTGACGTTGAGGAGATGTGGAGAGCGGTCGAGAGGGACAAGCGGGGCTGCTGACCTTGAGGAACACCTCCTCCGCGCCGTTGAACAGGAAGATCACGGGCGCGCGCGGCACCTTGCCGCCCTCCGCCATCGCGCGCAACGCCTCCAGCAGCGTCGCTGCGCGGGACGGGCGGAAGTGGGGGAAGGACATGTGGAGTGGGCCACGCGGCGGTGAGAGCGGAGAGGGGAGTCGAGAGGGAATGCAGGGGCGGGAGAGGAGGAGCGCATGGTACGAGAGAAGCTGATAAGGACAGACGAAAGTAGCGGCTTCAAGGTGGCACGTGAAAAGTTCCGGCACAGCAAACGGCGGGGGTCAGAGGGGCCGGAGGGATCAGGGGACGCGGCGCACCGACACACGAGGCGCAGTCCGCGGCGCCGGGCGAGCCGAGCGGCGAGTCGAAGTGCGCGTTGAGGAGAATCGACGGCGACGCGTCCACGGGTAGCGATGCGTCCGATACCCTGCAGGCGCGGGGGGGAGTCAAAGAAACAGCATGACAAGGGGGCCCGGTAACCGATTTGTGCAGGGAGGGAGGGAAGTAAGGCGAGGAACAAGAGCAGCGACGGCAGGATGGGCGAGAGACAGCGCAGAGACGAGCGAGGGACCAAGAGCGATGGACACAGACGGGCGAAGGCAGATCCAGGTGTTGGCGCGGACACGTGGGAGCGGGGAGGTGGGAGCTTGGAGTACCTGACGACGACGTTGGAGAGGTTCTGGTAGGCGAGGGTGAGGCTGCGGAAGAGGAAGTTCATGTGGAACGACCCGCTCACTCGACTGTCGTCGATCTCGATCCTGCGCGCCCACGACATCACAGTGGCGTTAGTGGTGAGAGTGAGGGTGCCGCGACACGGCAAGGTGACGACGCGAGCGAGGATTCGGAACGTGCGGATGGAGCGATGGGGCCGAGGGAGCAGAAGCAGGGAGAGGGGGAAGAGAACGGACGCGAAAGACACGAGGGAGAGAGAGCGCTATTGGAGGGCACGAGCTGGAGTCGAGTGGTTGTGTCGGATCTGAATGAGCATACGCGATACGGGGGCGAGGGGGGGGAAGGGAAGGCAGAGGGGATGGCAGACGAGGAGACTGGGAAGAGCAAGGACGAATAGCCACGAGAGTAACGAGGGCGAGGAGTAGTGACCTGAGTCGCGGCGACGCCTTGGCCTTAAGTCGACGAACCTCGTCGAGAATGTACGCTCTGCTCAGATCCAGACCCTCGCTACCTTCCTGCCAACACCACACCACATCGGAAAGTTTGCACACTTAGCGGAGCGTCGGACGAAAACGAATCGATCCTATATCGAGGGAAACGGCGTGGGAGAAGCAAGGGGCCGCGACGGTACGACAGTGGCAAGTCGAGACGCGAAGTGGACGGGCACGGATAAGTGAAAGGCGGCGGGAAGACGGCGGCAGATCAGCAGCGCACAGGCAGCATTAGCGTGGGCGTGCATTGCAGCGCGCACCTGCCGGATGCCGATGTCAGTCGCGAGTCGCACCACGTGAGCCATGGCTCGTTCTTCCGAGAACTGGTCGAGCGGGGTGGTGGCAGCGGGCTTGGGGGCTATCCGCGTGGTGAAGGTGAGGCGCCGTGTCACCTCGAGCAGAGGCGCGTAAAAGAGCAGCAACACGGCAAACCCGCCAATCCCTTTCCATAGCCATTGGCGGCTTTCACGCGAGCGGGACACGCGCGGAGCAGGAGCGGCACGGACAGAAAGAGGGGAGAGCAGCGGTTCTACGGCTGCGGTTGCTAACGCCCTGGCATCAACCATGATCCTGGCCTGCTCACGATGTGAGGTACGAACGACTAGCAAGAACACGTCGCACTACTCCAATAGTTACCTACAACAAAATCGACGCCGTATGCAACTATTCCCGATCCACTTGCTGAGCAATAGAAACTAATGGTCCCATATGTAGGAAATCGCGGGGGCCAAGAAGACATGAAGCACACCCTTTGACAGGACAGCACAGGAGCAGAGCAAGAAGTACGCCCCCCTCCGAAAGAAGCGTTTGCTTTGCTGTGTGCCAAGCCTTTCGAACCTGATATTGGGAGTTTTGAGCACTGACCTGAGAATGACCATCCGAGCACCGAGGAAGTGAGAAGTGAGTGTGATATGATGTTTACACGGTTAAGTTAGCGCCTTCAAACCGTTACGTAAGCGTTGAAACAAGATACTAGAGATTACGGGCAACCAGAAATGTTTTCCTCGAAACTTGTCAAATTGTCAATCTCTAATGCCCTAGATTTGCGTGATTCTTGGCGCCAAGTCTCATCCCCCTTTGCACAGTTTCCGCCAATAGCTGAGTCGCACCGCTTGTTCCGTGCATCGCCGTCCATCCGAGCCCAAGGCAACCAGGCCGTTATAGCGACGCCGTCGGCTTCGGTGACGTGACATGACAGACGTCCGTGATCCGCATTCACAGCCACCAATTTATCACTACCCTTCGACGGCCTCCGTCCAAAAATGCGAGGGAAGTATCACATTCCAGCACTTCGACTATCGTGCAATTCCAAGCTTCTTGCGCTGCGCATCCCGCTCACTGACATGACTCGTCTACCAAATGACATTCCACCACGTTTTGAGCTGTCAGCGGCGAGAATGTTCTAACCCCCGCACAAAGTGGTGCACTTCATTCCATAACGAAACAATCCAGTTTCATAGGCACATTCATAGACTTTCAAGGGGCAGTTACCACCGTATGAGGGTTTTGATTTCCAACGCTTTTTCGTTATGTGTGATTAAAAAACGGTAGAAGGTAATTTTAGCTAATCCAATGGATGACATACAGGCGTTCTGAATCTAATTTGGCAGTTGGTCATGTTTCGTTGTCTGAAGCATTTAATTAGTTTAATTACATAATTTCCTGAAAAATATCACTGTAAACGCCGAATGCATAGTGAGTACACATATGCAAACGGAAATCCCACATAATTCTAGGTAATTTAGTGTAAGAAACTATCATTGTAAAATGTTCTCATTTCTGTTGCATCATACCTGACTTGGATCCGTTGCTTTTCCATTCTAAGTTGACTTGGTGTTGGCGTGGTTGTGCTTGATGCTGACGCGTGCCACGTTGCCGCGTGCCTCGGCCACGGAGTCAAGTGTCCAATTCCTAACAAGCCCAGTGCACCGTGCTTCCACCCAGCTCTCCCGTTTGGTGACTGCGCGCCAATCGTCACTCCCACTTCGCCTCATTGAGCAGAGCACTTCTCTCGGGCCTTGCTTTCGCCTCGGCCTAAATTGAATGGGTCCAACTGCAGTGGCACAGCACATCCTAGCTGACACAGGGTGCAGGAGGCAGCGGCAGCATATCCCACAAGTTGAGGAATCGTCTATTTCCGCCTGAGGAACGGCGACCCTCTTCTCGCCTCCGCGATTCGAAGCTAGGAGAGTCAGTGGCACTCGCCAGCGTGAGTGCAACCTCGTTCTTTCAGCCCGATGTGGCCGCGAGCCGCATACCGCTCCCTCACCTCCCGTTCCTCTCCATCCTCCCCTCAGCTCAAGCAAACCTCGGCTCGTATCGCCTCCTCCCCCTCTGCCGCTCATGGCGCCACTTCGCCCGCCGCGCTCCTGACTGTCGCCGCGCGCGTCTTATCGCCGTCGCGCGCGCACTCCTCGTCGCCCGCCTCGCTGCCCGAGCGCGCTGTGTTTGAAGGCGAGCGGCTCACGGGGGCGGATGGAGAGAGCGGCGGTGACGCCCCGGGGGCGGATTTGCCGAGTCGGCGCATGAATGTGTTCACGGCGGTGAATGACGCGCTCTTCATCGCACTCGACTCCGACCCCAGGTCAGCGCCACGACCCACGCCGTCACGCACACGGGCGGGGTGTTGGGGTGTTGCGGCTTGCGAGGCGGCCGTGTCGTTGCCGTCGCTCACGACTGCCGCGTTTCGCCACTCTCTCTTTGCCGCGTCGTGCGCAACATGGTGCTCTGATTCTGCTCTGACTCCGCGTGTGTCGTGCATGTCGTGCGCGGCGTTGCGCAGGTCGTTCGTGTTCGGCGAGGACGTGGGCTTCGGAGGTGTCTTCCGCTGCACCTCGGGACTCTCGGAGCGGTTCGGCCGCCACCGAGTGTTCAACACGCCGCTCTGCGAACAGGTGAATCCACACCACACCACACCACACCACGCCACGTCGCGCCGCGCCGCTCCAACTTCACGCAGCGACCTGCGGTGCAGCGGTGTGGCGTATCTGTGCAACATGCCGTCGCTGCTGCCGTCTCGTCTCTTTCCTCACTGACCCGTATCACAATCCCATGACGCCGATTCCTTCCGCATGCGTCCCTCCCACTTCTTTCCCGTGCGCAGGGCATAGCGGGCTTCGCCGTGGGCCTCGCTGCCATGGTACGATGCGCTGCCCTCTCTCCTATTGCCCGCGGACCGCCTCCCTCCCTTCCTCCGCGCGCGTCCTGTATGATGCGTCCATTCATCCCCGCCCTCCACGTCCTTCGCATCCATCCTCGCCCGCTCTCGTACCCGCACTCGTCTCATCCGCATGTTGCGCCAGTAGCCTTTCTGCGATCCATGCGACTCGCTATGTGTGTGCGTGCGTGCAGGGCAACACGGCCATAGCGGAGATCCAGTTCGCCGACTACATCTTTCCTGCCTTCGACCAGGTTCGTCCCTCTCTCTTTCTCTCCCTCTCATCCCGCTCTTTTGCAGTTCCCTGTTTCCCCCCACCTGCTGCAAGCGTGCTTGTGCTCCGCGCCCCACTGTACACTAGGAAAAGGCGTTCCAGCCGTGCTCTGCTCCTCACCGCCTAGCCGCCACATCCGTGCCCCTCTCTCTCCCCTTCCACCGCGCTCCTCCCCCGTGTGCGGCGTGTGTGCGGGCAGATCGTGAACGAGGCGGCCAAGTATCGCTACCGCAGTGGCAACCAGTTCAACTGCGGAGGTACGGGGAAGAGGGGACGCGGGGGAGGATGCGCATGGAGGTGGGGTAGGAGTTGAGCTGCCATGCTGCTGTTGTTGTTGATAGTCACACGCGTGGATCTTGCAAGTCCACGGCATCTCTCTCCCCCTCCAGGCGCAACCTGCGGCGTTCTTCCGCCCATGCTCCCCGTCTCTCCACGCCCTAACCTCTCGCGCCGCGCCGCCTCCACCGCCCTTGTTCTCTCTGTCCGGCTTCTCACAGCCAGTCAGACTGCCCTCACCTGCACCACGCGCACACCAGTGCTTGCCAACCGCTCCCTCGCAAACCCTCCCCGTCAATCCTACCCCCTGTCCCCCTCCTCCCCCCTGCTCCTCAATCCACACACTTGCTCAGCTCACTCCATCACCACAGCGCCCAAATGTTCCCCCCCTTTTTCATGCGTGCATGCTAGCAGGGCTGACAATCCGAGCGCCATATGGGGCGGTGGGGCACGGGGGGCACTACCACTCGCAGTCGCCAGAGGCCTTCTTCTGCCACGTGCCAGGCCTCAAGGTGCGCTCTCCACGCCCCTGCCCCGCTCCCATGTTCTGCGCCTGCCCTGCTCAAGGTGGTTGGCGGATTGTGGCAGTATATGAGGGTTACAGTGAGTCAAGCGCTTGCATGTGTGCTTGCACCTTCTGCCAGGGTAGGCAGAGGGGCAAGTCAACGCTGCCATTTGTGCGGGGTCCGTGTACAGGTGGCGTCGTGGTGAAGGCCACGCGCGTATGGGCCCACCCAAGCTGCTCGCTTGTGCTCTTCTCCGCCCCTCCGCTCCGCCTGCCTCTCCCCCTCCCCTTTCTGCACCTCCCTGGGATCCCAGCCCCGCCCCTGACGCCCTTCCACATTCCCCCACCATCTTGCCCTGCGCCCGTGCTGGTGCTGCTCTGCGTGTGGTTCTGTGTGGCAGGTGGTGGTGCCACGAGGGCCCGTGCAGGCCAAGGGGTTGCTGCTGTCCGCCATCCGCGATGCCAACCCCTGCATCTTCCTCGAACCCAAGGCACGCCACTCCCACCCATCTGCCATCGTGCCATGCACCGTGCACACTGCACCGCACTGTGTACCATGACCTGTGCGCCATTTGCAATGCCCCATGCGAAGTACTGTGACTCAGGTGGTATGCACCTCCCTTCCGCCGTTCGTTTCCCCATCTATATATCCCCCGTGTCCACATCCTGGGTGCTGCTCGTCCCCATCACGCCCCCCTGCCTTGCGCCCATGGCAGTGGCTGTACCGCCTGGCAGTGGAGCCCGTGCCCCTGCATGACTACATGCTACCGCTCTCCACCGCTCAGGTGCGCATGCCACACCGCACCCCGCTCAGAGTAGAGGGGAGGCGGGGCTGTGATGGAGAAGAAAAGTGTCTCAGAAACTTATCTGAAGAAGGTGATTCCACATGGAAGAATGTGGGCGGTGGCTGTTGCGTTAAAGGAGAAGATTAATGCATCATGATATACTTTCCCCTTACCCATCCGCTCTACCCCTCCACTTCGTGTTCGCCCTTCAACAATCCAGCACCCTTGAGCCTTTAAGGGCCAGCTCCACCCTTTTTTCCTGATGCTGCGTGCCGCTGTGTGCGTGTGCATGAGTGGCAGGTAGTGCGGGAGGGCACGGATGTCACAGTGGTGGGATGGGGGGCGCAGCTCGCGGTGTTGCTGCGAGCAGCAGAGGAGGCTGCCCAGGTACGCCTGCTTCCCATGCCCGTGCATTCCTACTGCTCCTTCCACCTCCCCGACTTTCCAAGCTCCTGTCTCATCCTCTTTCCCTCGCCGCCAGCCCTCCCTCTTGCTGTTCAGTTTCAACGCAATCCTCTAATCACCCATTTTCCCCCCTTCCACCCCCTGTGGTGCCGTGCATTGTACATGTGCGTGTGCGCGCGGGGCAGGTGGGCATATCGTGTGAGGTCATCGACCTGCAGACGCTGCTGCCCTGGGATGCTGCCACCGTCGAAGCCTCCGTCAGCAAAACCGGCCGCCTCCTGGTACGACCTCTCCTCCCACTGCATCCCCTGCGCATCCCCTCTCATCGTCTCCTCTCGCGCCCTTGCTTTCCTCAATGTCCCCCTTCCGTCACACGTGAAAAGTATTTGCCCAATTCCTGGGTTGTGGCAAACGATGCGTGCAAGTACTTGCGGACGCCACTTCATTGAGCCACATTCACTTACTTCACTGCACTGCACTCTTACTTCTCATGCACTTGCTGCTAACCCCTCGCAACTCCATGGGGTTGCAGTTCAAGCAACCAGAACCCAGCACACATGCATGCGTGTGCGCAGGCAGAGATGCAACCCCGTGCACCTTGTGCACTGCCTTGCGTGCATCTCTGCACGCGCACACGCATGCGTGCTCAATTATGGGTATGTCTGCGCTTGTGTGTGCGTGTGCATGGGCATGTGGGCATATGTGCGTGCGCACGTGTGCATGTGTGCACGTGTGCATGTTGGTGCATGTGTGCATGTGTGCATGTGTGCATGCGAGGGGAGGCAGGTGAGCCACGAGGCGCCTGTGACGGGTGGGTTCGGAGCGGAGATAGCGGCCACCATCACCCACCGCTGCTTCCTCCGGGTCAGACCACTCGCCCTCACCCACACATGCCATGCCACACGGGGGAGCTGGGAAAGAGAGGGGAATTGAACTTTGGGGGCAAATGGAGGTGGAGAGGGAGTAGTTATCATATGCATCTGGGATCATGCCCCATGACTCCTGATTCCATCCTCCTCACACGGTCCATTTCCCTGTTCTCCCTGTCTTGGACTGCAGTTGCAAGCTCCAGTGGCACGTGTATGCGGGCTGGACACACCCTTCCCGCTTGTGTTTGAGCCTTTCTACCTCCCAACGCAGGACAAGGTGATCTCCCATGCACCTCTCATGATTCCTGTTCAACTTTATCCCTTGTGCCTCCGTATCTGCCAGCCTGCTTGGTCACTTGCACACACAAAACAACACCTCTGGCCTCTCCGCTCAGTCTTATGTGGTGGCAATGTTACAGTATTGTTGTACCACTTCCACAATGGTGCTATCCTCCCCTCCACCCCTCCTACCAACCTCAGATCGTGGAGGCTTTGAAACAACTCATCCAGTACTGAGGCCTTCGATCGATGTAATGTGATTTTGCATCTTATTTTCAGTCATGCAAGTCTGGGATGCGGTTTGTACAGTCTTCATTGGGCTTGCTAGAATGCGATGTATATAGTCATAAGAAAAAGTGGTATGAGGTGTTTAGAACATGACCTCAGATTTGTTTTGCAATTGCGTGAAAGAAGAGAGTTGGAATGCGAAGTCACTAACTACCATATGAAAATACGGTACCTATGACCAGCTTACACACAAAAAAAACTTGAGCGTGTGTGTGTGCATCTGGCTGCACTTGATAACATCATACCAAATCTGACTCTCCTGACTGCATATGGCTGCATGGAATGGGGTTTCGTGGGGTGCCTCTGCATTATACTCTCTAGGGAGGGACCCCACAATGTTAGAATCTAGCAGCAGGAAAAATGAGTGAACTAGCAGAATGCAGGAGTATAAGTAGTAAACCCTAATTGGGCTGTACCCCATATGGGCTACCTGTCAAATGTTGTAGCCTATAGTGAGGTTTGTCTTAGGGGGTACAAAACTTAGGGTTAGCTATATGTACCCCAACCAACATCAATGCATCATCCATTTCTCATTCTGACATGGTATCAGTTAGGTTAGGATCCTGTGGGATCCCGTTCCTCCGTTCTCCGTTCGAGCCTCCCGAGCCTGATCCTAGCTCTCATTCGTCCCGGTTCCGTTGTTACCGCGCCTAGCGCCACTCCTAGCGTCGCGTCCTGCCCGCCCTTTCCCCCTCGTCGCGTCCCTTTCCCCCCGTCGCGTCGCGCCCTTTCCCCCCAGTCGAGTCGCGCCCTTTTCCCCCCGTCGCGTCGCGCTCTTTCCCCCCGTCGCGTCGCGCCCTTTCCCCCCGTCGCGTCGCGCCCTTTCCCCCCGTCGCGTCGCGCCCTTTCCCCCCGTCACGTCGCCCTGCCCCGTCCCGTCGCCCTGCCCCGTCGCGTCGCCCTGCCCCGTCGCGTCGCCCTTCCCCGTCCCGTCGCCCTGCCCCGTCGCGTCGCCCTGCCCCGTCGCGTCGCCCTTCCCCGTCCCGTCGCCCTGCCCCGTCGCGTCGCCCTGCCCCGTCGCATCGCGCCCGCCCTTTCCCCCGTCCCGTCGACCCTACGCCCTGGCCCGTCGCCCTAGCCCGTTCTTCCGCTGCGACTAAGTCCCCCCCCCCACCACCTGAACCCTAATTTGCCTCTTACCTCCTGCTGTTACTCGCCTGCTCGTTCGCGTTAGTTCTCGCTATGGCGACTCCGCGAGTTCTTCGTTTCGACGCTGACGGTAGACCTCTTGACTTTTCCGTCTGGCTTCTTCGCGCTCGCCGTCTGTTAGAGAGTCAAGTCCAGGGGGGCGAGACCCTCTGGTCGCACGCTACTGGTGACCTCCCCGAGCCCCCCGAGCCTGCCGCTTTAGGTCCTGCCCCTGACGATGCTGCTACGGCTCGCTTTGCCCGTCAGCGCGCTGACAGGACGGCTTGGACGTCGCGTGACGCTGCGGCCTGCATCGCACTCAGCAGCCTCCTCCCTGAGTCAGAGGAGGTCCACTTCACTCAGGTTCGCACCGCTGCTGCGTACCTCACTGCGATTAAGGCCCGCTACTCTACTCCCGCTACTGTCTCTCTTGGCCGTCTTTTCCTCCCGTTCCTGTTTCCTGATCTCGCCTCGTTTGAGCGCTCTGCTGACTTGATCGCTCACCTCCGCTCGCTCGACGCTAGTTACCGCGCTGCTTGCACTGAGGCACAGCTTGCACTGCTTCCTCCCCCTATGGCGATTACTATCTATTTCATCGCCACTAGCCTCCCTGACCGCCTTGCCTCCGTTCGCGACGCGCTTCTGCTGAAGCACCCTAGTGAGCTCACCGTCGATGTCCTTGAGTCTACACTCAAGGACGTCGAGAGCAACCTTCGCTCGGTAGCCGCTGCCTCTGGTGCTGTGCCCCCCCCACTCTTCCACGGGTGCACAGTCCCGCAGTTACCCACCTTTACTGCCTCACTTGCCACTGCCGCTACTGACGCGACTGCAGCTGCTGTTACGACTGCGTCGCGGTCCCGCGGTAGGAGTGGCAAGAAAGGCGGTTCTGGTGGTGGTAGTGGAGGTGGAGGCGGAGGTAGTGGAGGTGGCGTTGCGCCTGGCGGCGGTGGAGGTTCAGGGCCTGGAGAGGCGCCTCGTGCAGTGACTGGTGACTCCACTGCGCCTGCTAGTGGTGGCGACGCCCGAGTTCGTCAGTCGCCTCCTGTACTTCCTGCCCCGGTTGGTGGAGCAGCGGCGTGGTACCAGGCTCAGCGTCAGCAGCAGCTTCTGCAGCACCAGCAGCCCCTCTCCTCCCAGCAGCCTCAGCAGCAGCAGCGGCAGCAGCTGGCTCCAGGGTCGGGGCTGCGTCAGACCCAGCGTGGTGCTGCTTACACTCCCTGCACCTACCAGGTTCTGACAGGCCCTCGTCGTGGCCACCCTTGTGGCCGGTTTCACCCCCCTGGTCAGTGCTTTGCTCAGCTCACTGACACGGTTCGTTTGGTCTACGGGGTTGGTGCTCCTGCCCCTGACTGGCTGCCTCTTGTTCAGCGCTACGGCTCCGCTCTGTGGGGCATGTCTGCTGAGCAGTTAGTTGATCTGATTGGTACTCCCCATGCTATGTATGCTGTTGTTGACTCTAGTGTTTCTGACTCTGCTTACTCTGGTGTTGTTAGCTTAGGTGCTAGCCTTGCTCAGTTGCCTGTTGCTAGTGTAGGTTCTTGTGTAGACTCTAGTCCAGCGGCTACCTCAGAGGACGGTTCGCTGTCGTTCACGCTGGACTCTGGAGCCTCTCACTGCTTCTTTCGTGACAGCACGACACTTACGCCTCTTCCTGCGCCTGTTTCTGTGGCGCTGGCTGATCCCACTTCGGGACCAGTCACCGCGCGTCACACTACCACCTTGCCGTGTCCGGCTGCTCCTTCTGGGTCTCTCACTGGGTTTCACGTCCCCTCGTTCTCCCGGAACTTGGTGGGCGTGCGACCCCTCGTGAGTCAGCACGTGGGTGTGTGGTTTGAGCCTTCTGGAGAGACTGCGGTGTGTGTTGACGGGGACTCTTACCAGCCCCTCGCCACTTTTGCTGCTGAGCCGGGCTCCGGTCTCTACACTCTTCACACTGGCCCGCGCGCTCAGCAGCGACTGCAGCAGCAGCAGCAGCCGCAGCAGCAGCAGCAGCAGCAGCAGCAGCAGCAGCAGCAGCAGCAGCCGCAGCAGCAGCAGCGGCAGCAGCCGCAGCCGCAGCCACAGCGGCCGCCGTCGCAGCAGCCACTCCTCCCAGTTCCTGTCCCTCCCCCTAGTCTCCTCCCTGCGTCTCACCAGGTGGTTCCGTCCCCTCAGGTTGTCGCGTCCAGTCCAGTCGCTGCGTCTTGCTCCTGTCGGTCACTTGCCCACCCCACCGTTCTGTGGCACCACCGGATGGGACACCCTTCTCTTCCACGTCTGCGTGCTATGTCTAGTCAGCGTCTGGTCTTAGGTCTCCCGCGTGTCTTGCCGTCGCTGCCGCCGTCCCTTGCACCACCGTGCGGTCCTTGCGTCGAGGGTAGGCTGCGTGCCACCCCTCACTCCTCCTCCCTTCGTCCGGCCACCGAGCCTTTTGAGACGCTGCACTTGGACGTCTGGGGCCCCTCTCCTCGCCCTGGCCCTGAGCGTGAGCGTTTCTTTTTGGTGGTTGTTAACGACTACTCCCGCTACACCACAGTGTTCCCCCTGGCGAGGAAGTCTGAGGTGACTTCTACGCTGATCAGGTGGTTGCTTACCACCCAGGACACTCGTGGTCGTCGTGTCAGCTGTCTCCACTCCGACCGCGGGGGCGAGTTTCGCTCCGGCATTCTTGCTGGATTCTGTCGCGAACAGGGCATTCGTCAGTCCTGGACGCTTCCGGAGTCCCCACAGCAGAATGGGGTTGCTGAGCGTCGCATAGGCCTGGTCATGGAGATTGCCCGCACCTCCTTGACTCACGCCCGTGCCCCCCATTTCCTGTGGCCATACGCAGTCAGGTACGCCGCGCACCAGCTGAACCTCTGGCCACGCGTCTCTCGGCCGGAGGCTTCACCGACCAGTCTTTGGACAGGGTCCCCTGGTGTCGCGTCGAGGTTTCGTGTCTGGGGGTGCTTGGCTCTTGTCCGCGACACCTCCGCGGACAAGCTCTCGCCTCGCGCCGTTCCTTGTGTCTTCCTTGGTTTCCCTGAGGACTCCTCTGACTTCACCTTTTACCACCCTCCCTCTCACCGGTTCTTTGACTCCCGTGACGTCCGTTTCGAGGAGTCCACCCCGTACTACGTCAGGTACCCCAGTCGAGGTCTCCCGGTTCCTCCTCCCCCCCTCTTCCTGACAGCCGCTCCCCCGCCTGCTCCCCCGGTACAGCCTCCCCCCCCTGGTCCAGCCCCGTCTGGTGTGTCTCAGGCTAGCCCTCCCCCTTCGGTAGCCCCCCCTGTACAGCCTCCCTCCCCACAGTCTTCCTCGCCGCCTCCTGCAGGTGCTCCCTCTCGGGAGGTTGGTCCTGCGACTGTCCCTGTACAGGTCTCTGGTTCTGGGGGTGCTGGAGTTGGAGCTGAGCCGCGGGTTGCAGAGGACTCTTGTCTTCCGGGGGCTGGTACTGGTCGTGCGGAGTCTGGGGGTGCTGGTGCGGAGTCTGGGGGTGCTGCGTCTGGGGGTGAGGGTGTTCCTTCGGTTTCTGGAGAGCCTGGGTCTGGAGCTGGTGTTGGTGCTGCCTCTGGGGGTGGTGTGCTTGGTGCTTCGGAGGTCGACTCTGGGGCTGCCGCTGCCCCGGACACTACTCCTTCCCCCCACCCCTACCCGACCAGGTTCCAGGCTCGTGTTCGCCGTGCTCGTGAGGAGCAGCTGGAGTTGGAGAGAGAGGAGAGAGAGTTGCAGCGGCTCGAGGAGCAGGAGCGACAGCAGCAGGGGCAGCAGCCGCTGGAGCAGCAGCAGCCGCAGCAGCAGCAGCTGCCGTCTCCTCCTCCTGTCTCGGGTCTTCGGACCCTTGGTCTCCCCTCTCCCTCTCC